GAGAGAATACCTGAAGTACACGGTTACTGTGCGAATTCAAATAAACCAAACAAACTGCAAAAAAAGTACACAGCTCACGAGAATAAAGAGGACTGGAGCACAGAATTGAACTGCTGAAGTACACAGCTGACGAGAATAAAGACAGGAGCACAGAAATGAACGGGAGGCAGTCTACGAAGTGGTGGTACCATCGGTGCATGCACCACGGTACATTATCATATCGGCTTTGCAAAGTTCGTGGGTACTTAATACCATGGTATGACCAACTGTGTAGCAGTCTACAACGTGTAGGGAATGGCAGCTCGGCGGAATGCTGGGATGTTGCCCATTGCTCGCACTAGGCCTGGGCGGATAATGTTAGTTATTTGGCGGGAAAATGCTATTGGCAATGCCAGAAAAACTGTATCATAATGCTACTTATAATGCTGCTGTTCCTCTGTAATGCCAGCAATTCACCAGCAGTAAGTATGGGAAATGGCTTGGTTTGGGCAGTATTGTGCACGTTTCGTAGTTCTACGTAGACGGCATGGAAAATACTAGATAATCATGATCATAATGCTAATTGTATGCTGCTATTGCTCAATACAATCCCTTGCAGCTAGCTGTCCAGCGAGGAAAGTCTCGAGTGGAGGCCTCTCGATCTGCTCGCTCATTCGCCTGGCATTCAGTAGCACTTCATCGCCAAGGACTTCAATGCAAAACAGTTTTCACACTGCGCTTCAAGCCTTTTTCCTGGTGAACTTGCTGCGAACGTATGAGCCCTGCTGCGCGTGTTCCCTTTATGTGATGCCCAGAAACAGCTAGTATCTCCGTACTTCGATTGGCTGGATCGATGTCGTCCAGGTTCTCTTCACTATCGCCATCACGACTCTAACTGGAGACGATTTCTTCACCATTTTCCCCAAGCAGCAGCTAGCGCAGAAATTTCGCCATCCCTGAGTGTAGGAGATGGAATCCGTTCGATCAGCTCAAAACTCTTCGTTGTGACTAGAGGTGTAGCAGGGAATATTCTACTGGAAGCCCTTTGATTTCCCTGACCGCTGAAACCCTTCCTGCCATGACTGCTGCTTCTTCAAGCAAGCGAGGTTCTCTTTGGTTCCACTTCACTGCACTCGAGCGTCCACGCGACACAACCTTTTTACAAAACATCATTTTTCTCAAAAAAATGATTTTCACCCTAACTAAGCCTGGTTTTCGCAGAAGTAAGGCCATTTGAGTATAATGCCACTTTTGTGGAAATGTGGTGTTATAATGCTAGCATAATGCTCGTTGCAAATCGCACACTATAATGCTACTTATAATGCTAGCATTATCCGCCCAGGCCTAGCTCGCACCGTGTCAGGTATATGGTTCCATAACAGGCAACCGCGAGATGCCGGTCGGCATTGGCCTGCTCGGCTTCTGGCTATTGGTTGTTGCAGGCCCAGACTGCGCTGAAGGCGAGTTGCTCCGCAGTTGCGAACAAACAGTGCCTGCAGAGCAGGAGAGATATCCAAGATGCAGCGGGCACCCTTCAACTGTGTGCCGGTCAGGGGCGCGGCATTGAAGCTGCCATCCATGCGATGAAAGATGTCTAACGTGAGGAGGATGCGGATGCCATATTGCTCGCCGACGCTTCGAACGCCTTCAACCGGCTTAACCGTGGAGCCTGCTTACGGAACATCCGTCACCTCTGTCCCTCTATTGCGCCAGCTGTAATCAATACCTACCGCCAACCATCCCGCCTATTCGTTGATGGAGAGTGCTTGCTATCGTGCGAGGGTACCACCCAGGGTGACCCTCTGGCCATGCCCGTATACGCGCTTGGAGTCCTCCCGCTCATCAAGAAAGTTGCAGTGCCTGGTGCGAAACAGGGCTGGTATGTGGACGATGCTGCAGCCGGTGGATAGCTAACGCCTGTTCGCCAATGGTGGGACAATCTTGTCAGCCACAGTCCTGGGTATGGCCACCACTGCAGCGCCCAGAAGTCACTCCTCCTGTTCAAGCCCTCCAGGTACGCAGCTGCTATCGAGACGTTTGAGGGGACCGGTGTGCAGGTCACGTGTGATGGATGCCGCCACCTTGGTGCACCTTTGGGTACGGATGAGTTTATAGAACAATTTGTCCAATCCAAGGTCGCTACCTGGTGTGAGGAAGTTGCGCAGCTCACGACCATCGCTGCATCGCAGCTACAGGCTGCCTACTCCACTGTTGTAAAATAATGTGTTGTTTTCCTGTTTAATGGCATTCCCCAAACTGTCTCGTCTAGTCGCGTGCATGTGTGATATGAGCATGCGCGATTTTGTAGTCGAGAGTCCTTAGTCCTTTTGTCAGTCTTCTTGTTCGTCTCTGTCAGAGTAGTCTACCTTTCCGTAATGTCCAAATATATTATGTAAAACAAACCAGTCTTGTCCTTTGTGTCCTGCGTCCCGGGGAACGGAATGGCTGAGATTCCGCAACAAGGTGGTGCCGAAACCCGGGACGCAGAGGATGAGGTAGTTTGTAGCGAGTCTGTTCGTCGTCGTCGTCAACAACAAAGTAAAACTATAAAGTATGCGTGGGAATGGAGGAGGTCAGGAGAGGAGCTGGTGGGAGCGCAAGACGGTGGAAGAGGAGGCAGAGCAGGTGGTTGGAACGGCAGAAGCTGGGGACTGGATCTTGGAAGGCAGGTACCGCATGGAGCGTGTGGCCGTGGCTCGCCAGAGGCCAGTGGATGAGTCTGGCATCACCGACTGTGTGTCGTCCTTTGTTGTTCGTCTTGTTGTTGTCTTGCTCGCTGTGTTGTCTGATGGTGTTTCTCTCGCTGTTCAGTTTGTTGCTGTGTTGTTGAGTTTGGTTGTCGGTATGTTGCTCTTCTCGTCGTTCTGTTGTACATTAATTTGCGTTGTAGATTTATTTTGCGCTGCTGCGCGCATGTTGTTATTTGTTGGAGCTTTGGCTCTCGTGTTTCGGTTGGCCTTGTGTGCCTGAGTTTAGAGCGCCGGCTCTTGTGTTTTTTGGTTTGGTCCTGTGGTGCGGCTTGGTTGAGAGCGTCGGCTCTTGTGTCTTGGTTTGGCCCTGTGTCGTGGCCCAGTTTTGTTGTGCTACAATGTAAGCTGTTGGTTGGTTTTGGTTTTTCGGTTTTGCTGTGGTTCCTTTTGCTGTTGTGCATGTGGAACGTGGTGTCGATTTATTATTTTGTGGAATGTCATCAAGGGGGCAGGTGTTGTAAAATGATGTGTTATTTTCCTGTTTGATGGCAGTTGTACTACATTTGTAGAAGATCTACTTGTCCACTGCGCCTAGCGCCTAGGCACTGTCTCGTCTAGTCGCGTGCATGTGTGATATGAGCATGCGCGATTTTGTAGTCGAGAGTCCTTAGTCCTTTTGTCAGTCTTCTTGTTCTTCTCTGTCAGGGTAGTCTACCTTTCCGTAATGTCCAATTATAATTATGTAAAACAAACCAGTCTTGTCCTTTGTGTCCTGCGTCCCGGGGAACGGAATGGCTGAGATTCCGCAACACCACCTTCACACAGGGCTTGCGAAACAAGTGGCCCTTCCTCTGCCGGACCTCCTCCGTCCTGCCGTCCCTGCTTGAACCGATGGAACACGCAATCAGCGGTCGGCTCATCCCGGCCATCACGGGTCAGGCTCCACCTGGGACAACTGTTCGCTCCCTACTCTCTCTGCCTTGCCGGCTTTGGGGACTGGGTATGGCAGACCCTTGTTCAGTGGCTGAACAGTACACCTCAACCATAAGGATCACGGCTAGCCTCGTGTCTCGCCTACTGGAGCAGGAGTCGTCTCTTGGCGACTCTCTGACTCAGCTCCGGATGGTCAAGGCGACGGTTCGTGCCCAGAAGCGGAGCGCGTCCAAGTCCATGGCTGACGCCCTTCGCTCGGATCACCGGGAGCTGGCCCCTGTTCTCGACCTGGCCTCAGAAAAGGGTGCATCCAGCTGGCTGACCTGCCGCCCCCTCAGCCGCCATGGTTTCCCCCTCACCAAGGGAGATTTCCGGGATGGCCTGTGTCTCCGCTACGGCTGGACACCTCCTCGACTCCCAAGCCTCTGCATGTGCAGTAAGCCGCTGAATGTGAGTCACGCCCTGTCGTGCCCGTTTGGTGGCTTCCCGACGCTACGACATAACGAGGTGAGGGACATCACCGCCAGAGCTCTAAGGCAGGTCGCTGATAATGTGACGGTGGAACCCCACCTCAAGCCCGTCACCAGAGAGGCCTTCCGCCATCGCACAGCTGGCACGGAGGAGCAAGCTCGGCTGGACGTTGCAGCTAGTGGTGTGTGGGGTGGCCGATTCGAGCTCATCTTTATTGTTGTACGGGTGTTCAACCCTTTTGCGTCTTCGAATCGCGCCACCTCCGTCGCTGCCAGCTACAGACGCCATGAACAGGAAAAGCGCCGGAAGTACGAAGAACGAGTACGCGAAGTTGAGCATGCCTCCTTCGTGCCCGTTGTGCTTTCTGCCTCTGGTGGCTATGTCAAGCATGCCAATGCTCTTTTCACGCGGATCGCCTCTCTCCTGGCTGAGAAGAGCAAGGAGCCACACGCGCAGATTATCTCCTTGCTGCGCTGCTGCCTAGGGTTTGCCCTGGTGCGTTGTGGTGCTATGTGCCTGCGTGGCTCAAGGAGCATGTTTGCTCCTGCCGTGCCTGAGTCCCCTGCTGTGCTAGTGGCGGCGGAGGCACGCATCCAGTGAACCTGCAGTGATCCTACTGAGTGACAGACTCCGTATAATCATTACTGTATCTGATGATTTGTTTTATGTAATTGTGTTGATTCTCCACAAATGTGTTATTTTGACCGTACAAGAGGCTCAAGGCTTGTCCCTAAAAAACAACAAAAAAACAATGTGTAGCTACATTGTACATGTAATAATTTCTCCCAAAATTATAAACTGGCCTGGTGTTAGCCCTCGGGGACTACGGCCCTCCGGGCTAACCTGGTGGGCACTAAAAAGTGCATAAGGCCCTCCCTACTGTGCACTAACCTATAATTATGGACAAACAGCATAGCCGCGACTTACTGGTCTGTGCTTATTTAGCGTTGTGACTTCGAGGGCGGGTGTTGGCTTTGCTCCACCACCAGACCTCACGAAGTATGCGTGTCGCCTTCACTTACTCTCCTCGCCCGTCACACCAGTTCAACAGGTATTGTAGGCTAAATCCACGTCCACGTCGAAGAGTTGTCTCACCTGACAACTGATCAGAAGTGGATGATGACTGGATTATGGACTATCCGAGTGTGGCTAGGCCGCGGTTTCTTGCCGGGCCTGAGCTAAGTCCCTGTCCAACTCTTTATCAGGACCTTCCAGAACCGAGACACGAATGGCTAGCCAGCGCGTGAGCTAGCACGCTGGCTTAAATTTATAGGCCCCAAAGGTCTTTGGCGAAGGAAAGCAAATCGGCTCAACACAACCGTCTTCATGCAGCAAATGCAAACGCTGTCCAGTAGTGTTCCGACTTCTATCGGAACTATTCTCTGCAAGTGAATTCGAAGTGTTTCGCTTCACTCCAACGGTCCCATCCAAGATAGGCTACAAAACGAAAACCAGAGCCAAGGACAACTGATCTTATACTGTAATCAGTCTTGGACAGCTTTACAGTTAAAAACTGACAAAATTATCTGTTGCGGATTCGGCTCGTGCTCACTCAACTGCATGCTAGCTTGCTGTTACAGTTGTACTACATTTGTAGAAGATCTACTTGTCCACTGTGCCTAGCGCCTGGCCATGGTAGTATTCACATGCGGCACAGCGTTGGTCAACTGCATCGTAGTTTTTTCATTCCCGTAGCTATGCAAAAGACGTTACCGGGTACTTCAGTAGCGTCTGGCGCTAGCCAGCGTCCACACACCGCGTTTGTTTGTTTGTGCCATCGGCATGCCTGGCGCTATCCCGTACCTGTCTCGAACCGTACCATCAAAGACAGCTGGCCACAAACATGTCTCAAACAGCTGGCCACAACAGGCGAAGCGCCATGCCATGGCGCCAGCACCCCAAATCAAGACTTTTATATTTTCCGTGGCGGGAAATCGAGCTTTTCCAGGTATCTACAGCCTGTAGAAATAATTCAACGCTGAGAATTTCCAACTATTGTTCGGCTTTGGTCCTCTGCAACCGACCTATCCTTTGAAGGAGAATGGTGAAACCAGTTGGTTGCTCTTCAGTAGTTCTTTCTCTATCGTATTATTTTTATATGTCGACACATGCCGCGAGCGAGGAGGTAGACACTTCTCAACACTTGAGTGACTTGAATTTGGCCATGATGACCGAATGTCATTGGACCATGGAGTCGAGTAGAGGGCTCAGGCTCAATCGGCACAACGGGTACGTATAGGGTAAGGGTAGGGCTAATGATAATTATAATATCAAGTTGTTGTTTGCTGTGCACAACCTTGGGGCGGAATTTGGCACGAAATTCTCGCCTCGCCAACTGTTGAGTATACCATGCAATACGTAGGTTTAAACTCATTTTACAGTGCTATCACGGTTGCAACCCTCTTTCAAATGGTGACATAGCCAACAACCACATAATCTATATCAAATCTTGCCCCTTATTTTCTGAAGCAGTCGAGGTGTTCTAAGTGTGAAGGATAGAAATGGTACCAGTCCTAATCATTGGAAAATGCAAATCACGGTCTACTACCGTCAAATCGTAGTACCATGCAGCCTGGTAGTGCATTTGGAGCAGGAAAGTGAATGGTAGCACTGCGGTGGTGAACACATGAGCTGATGAACATGAACCATCGTCGTCTTGTTGGTTTGTGTTCTCTCCAGTTCATTGCAGGTTGAACGAGGAATGAACGTCTACTCTTTCTTTCCAAAACTGGCTGAGCACACGCCAATGTGACGGAAGCTAGTGCCAAACCAGTCCTTGCAAGCTTTGTTGTGCTGCTGGACTTTCAATCATCATGTAAAGATATTCCGGTTTCTGAGTCTTCGTGTGAGCCTGAAGAGCTACACTGTGTAGAGATGTTGGAAGTTTATCCTGCTCACGACACTGCACTAAGTACAAGCACTTCCTCGGCACTGGCTGAGCTCTGCTGTGTATTCCCTGTGACCAGGAGAAGAAGGGCATAAGGCCCACTGTGCTATGCACTAACCTATAATTATGGACAAACAGCATCAATTTAATAGCCGCGACTTACTGGTTTGTGCTTATTTAGCGTTGTGACTGCGAGGGCGGGTGTTGGCTTTGCTCCACCACCAGACCTCACGAAGTATGCGTGTCGCCTTCACTTACTCTCCTCGCCCGTCACACCAGTTTAACAGGTATTGTAAGCTAAATCCACGTCCACGTCGAAGAGTTGTCTCACCTGACAACTGATCAGAAGTGGATGATGACTGGATTATGGACTATCCGAGTGTGGCTAGGCCGCGGTGCCTTGCCGGGGCTGAGCCATATCCCTGTCCAGCTCTTTATCAGGACCTTCCAGAACCGAGACACGAATGGCTGGCCAGCGCGTGAGCTAGCACGCTGGCTTAAATTTAAAGTCCCCAAAGGTCTTTAGCGAAGGAAAGCAAATCGGCTCAACACAACCGTCTTCATGCAGCAAATGCAAACGCTGCCCAGTAGTGTTCCGACTTCTATCGGAACTATTCTCTGCAAGTGAATTCGAAGTGTTTCGCTTCACTCCAACGGTCCCATCCAAGATAGGCTACAAAACGAAAATCAGAGCGCCAAGGACAACTGATCTTATACTGTAATCAGTCTTGGACAGCTTTCCAGTTGAAAACTGACAAAATTATCTGTTGCGGATTCGGCTCGTGCTCACTCAACTGCATGCTAGCTTGCTGTTACAGTTGTACTACATTTGTAGCAGATCTACTTGTCCACTGTGCCTAGCGCCTGGTCACGGTAGTATTACTGTACTGTTCTGTACATAGTTGCTAAGTCTCAACTCAAGTCTCAACTCTGCAACCCTGTCTAGCCTGGGCTAGCATCTCTGCTGCATCAAACCAAACCAAGAGTACTTCATCACGGATTACGCCGTCCCACAACCCAATATTCCAGTTGCGCACGATGCACTGGGACTCTTGATCAAACACATTCACATGCGGCGCAGGGTTGGTCAACTGCATCGTAGTTTTATCATTCCGGTAGCTATGCAAAAGACGTTACCGGGTACTTCAGTAACGTCTGGCGCTAGCCAGGGTCCACACACCGTGTTTGTTTGTGCCATCAGCATGCCTGGCGCTATCCCATACCTGTCCCGAACCATACCATCGAAGACAGCTGGCCATAAAACATGTAACAGCTGGCCACAACTGACAATATTCAAATAGGGCTTTCAAATGCAGGAACACGTGAATCAACTTGGAAGAATGAGTATGTATGCGAAGCAAGAGTACATATCCCCCCCCCCCCCCCCAGAGTGTGCAACTCCCCACATACTAGTACCCTGCTGTCCCGACAGAATTTCAAGTTGACGTCATTGACGCAATGCTCCTTGCACCAGTGATTTACAACATGTGTACGGGTGGCAACGCATCACACGTTTGTCTTTGCAATAATTAAATTAATTTGTACAGTATCAGATCGGCTTCGGTCAACCACAGGTTCCGGATTCGTCTAATAATCCGTGTACAGTGCGCATTGCATCATCAAAATGACGTCAACTTGAAATTCTGCCGGGACAGCACCCATAGTCGAGCGTGAGCCAGTGTCGCTCATGGAAATGCTGAACAAGTGGGCCGTTGGCCGTTCACAACGTTGTTGCCTCCAAACCATCTAATTCGCAAGCCCGGGCTGGGGACAAGAATGTGAAGAAGAGGTTGTTGCGACTTCGGCGATTGTAGGAGAAGAGTGTGTTGTTCCCTACATGGGAGCTCGCGGTTTTCCTGCCGACTTGACTCTGAGTTCTCACTTGACTGACTCACGACTGCCATTGCCATCCAGAGCACACATGAGCGACACTGACTCACGCTGCTATTTTTATTTATTTATTTTATTTTATTGGAAACACAGCCCTACAAAGAGACATGTGGAGACAAACACAAAACAAGACACAGGGGATGTAGGGACAACGTGCCGATGTACAGGGAGCAACTCGACCGACCAGGGGTCTCGGCGTTAGCGTTGCAACCTGGCATCGAAAAAAGGGAGGTTGCATGGTCAAGTAGCAAAAATAATAATTTGGTGCGAGAAAGGGGCGCTAGTATTGCACCAAATAATATAAATACGTGTAATTACTAAACCAGAAGGGAAAAAGAAAAAAGAGAACAATAATCATAACAAGCAAGTACTAGTAGAGAGCAGAGGTAAATACTAAATGGTTCTCAATATCATCGTCACAGGTACTGTGTGGACCACAGCCATCTCTTTCGGATTAGATCCTTACATACGTTGACCTTGAAGGTTTGGAGGCATCTTGAATGAGGTTCGTGAAGCAGGAGGTCCGCAGGCAGGTTGTTCCAGGATGTGATGGCGAAAAAGGGGAAGGATCGCAGGAGGTAGTCAGGGGCTGTGGGAGGGGGTGTCCATTTCAGCTGGAAGCCATGGTGCGTCTGACGTTTTTGCTATCTGGTCTTCACCAGGTGTTTCAACTTTGTCGCGCTGGAAACGGAGCGCCTCTGTAAGTTTGTATCCCTGGTGATGTTTGTGCCTGGATAGCACTATAATAAGTGGTGCTCTTCAGGCACAATCTTCCTCAGCCTACTTAAGCTCAACTGATGAGGGTTGAATTCCCCGAAACACTGTGTATTTAGCAGGGAGTGGTGCTTTCTTGCAGGTTTGCCGAGTGGACGGTTCGATGGGCGTCTCGTGTGCTCTGGTCAAAGTCTGGATGGCAGTCGTGAGTCAGTCAAGTGAGAATTCAAGTCGGCAGAAAAACCGCGAGCTCCCATGTAGGGAGCAACACACTCTTCCCCAAAATAAGTAATGTGTTCTCTTTTATAAATGTAAAAAAAGAGAAGAAACACATGACTCATGAGAATGATCGAGTTATGCAGCAGCTATCCACGACTGTAACAAGATGATAAACAGTCAGAAAGTGCGATAATAGAGCACAAAAACTGACAGGCTACTGAGACATATTACCATCGTGGATAGTTGCTGCACAACTCGTTCTCATGTGTTTCTTCTCTTTTATTTTTACATTAAATTTTATTACTGGCTCAGTATCCGAGTTTTCTCTTTTCCATGTTGATCTCTTGCATGCATGGACACCTTGGTATGGGGATACTCATGTATTTGCTTGTGCATGTACTTATGGCCACTGGCAAGTGCGAAAAAGGCACAATTTTCCACACTTTGAGGCTCCGTAAGTACAAATGAAGGGAATCTGCATCCCCGCGTGCCAAAGCATAATATGAGGATTTTGCGGGCATAATGCAAGAATCCATGAAAGCATAATTCCATGATTTCGCGAGCACAATCCGCCGGAGCATTTGCGGTACATGCCAGCTGTTATTATTATTACTATTATAGGGGCGGCTTTATCCGTTTTGTGTTGCTGTTGTATGTGAAGAAAATTATAGTAAGGGAGACTGAAAGAAAAAAAGAAAAGAAAAAATTATGATTTGATAACCGCAATCAATAATACAAGCTGAATCGACAATTGTGTACACTTTATTCATGCGATGTAAAGCTGTGGAGACAATGTGCAATGAAATGATGAAAA